AAAAATGACAGGAAGCTGCCCCCAAGTTCCAACAATAGGAATTATTCAGAAGCTGTTGGAAAATATGGTAAGAATGCACATTAGAGAGTGGACAAGCATTGCCCTGGCAAAGTCCACACAAGTCCTCTTAAATGAGATTTTTGAAGCCTCCTATAACTTCAGGAAGCCTAATAATGTCCAGGGAAGCTCTGATAAAATCGAGCAGTATGTGACAAATGTGTCAAGGTCACCATAGCACTGGGACTCACAGCTACTGTCAAATTCTACTCTAATAGCCTAATAAAATAACTATTTCTTCTATATGCAATTCAATTTATATAATGTAATCTTAAACAAGCAGTGTACAGTTAATGGCTGCTGAATGAAATGAGTAGAGCTGCTGGTATTTCTATCAAATGTCAGTTCATTGTATCTTATAACAACACTTAACAATTGAAAGGCTTTCAGTTAATCCTGAGGTCACGGTGGTCCCAAGACCATGTTTTGTAATATCTTACCATTTAGTCTTGCAGGAACTCAGCAGATGTTTCTCTAACATGAGCTACCGAAATTTTACACTCGCACATTTGAGTGAACAACTTCATTATATGTAGTTTACTTTGTTTCGGTTATTAATAGATGTGATGAGTCACATTATAAAGTAGATTACTCATTAGCTTTGGAGGCAGAGAAAGGTTTCGAGAACATGAAAACCTGTTTAAAAATATATGTGTCGTGCCTTTATAGAAAACAGAACCCTCCAACTCAGCATATGCCGTCAAAGCAGGGATTACACACAGATTAGATCATACACAGAAGAGTGGATCTTTGCAGCAGATGTAAAATGACACTGCAATTTGAAGTCATGACAACATAAATGACATAAATGAAGCATTTAGGAGAGTGAAGTACAGCTATTACCCCAATAAATAATTTTCTTTGAAGACAAATGACTAGAGTAAGCAATACGATATCATTAGGCATGTATTTTCCCTTATATATTGACACTTCAATCTCACATAAAAATGAAGCCTAAGAAATTGATCGAGGATAACGCAAAAATACAAAGCTTACGCCATACGTATGTCTTAAAAGGCATCTCTGGTAATGTACACATAACACTCTAACATATTTTAAATCTGAACTCCGTGCTCAAACACTTTCATTTAAATATATTCATCAGTAGCCACAAAGCATATAAATCCACTTTGTATGCCCAAATGCCTTTGCGAACCTCGATATTGCCTTGTAAAGGTAGCAGTGGTATCATCCCTGTGCTGTACATAGGCTGTGCACAGAGCCAGGGCTGTAGCTACCATGGGGCGAGTGAGGCACTTGCCTCAGGCGCAACTGAGAGGGGGCACAGCCAGGGCGCCATTGGGAACAGGGGCGCCAGGCTGCCAACATTGCCGCGGCTCGGCAGGGAGAAGAGGAGTGGCACAGGCTCCAGCTTCTCCTTGGATCCCCGCTGCTCTCTCCCACCTGTATGAGCAGAGCACTCTGTGTCCTCAATCTCTTTTTCTATTTCAAAAGGGAAATGTCGGGGGTCTAGACCCCCGATATTTCCCCAAAGCCCCCTCAACAGTAAAAATAATAATAAAAATAAATAAAAAACAAAAACACCCCCCACACACACTCATGCACACACACTCATATTACTAGACATGTGCAAAGACTAAACATTTGTTTAGGACGAAATGAATAGAAACTAAAAATGTTTTCATTAGTTTCCTCAAACAAAACAAATATTTATGCTATTTTGGATTTGGCCACCAGTGTATTTGTGCCGCCATCCTGGTGGTGGGGTGCATGACATCACATACCGCAAACGTCTGTTGGGGGGCACAATTTTCTGTTCTTGCCTCGGGCGCAAAAGGAGCTAGCTACGGCTCTGCACAGAGCAGAGTTGTGGGCGACACCCACCCACTACAGAAAGCTACAGGAGAGGGGCTGATACATGACCAATCATCCTGCACAAGCAGAGAGAACAGCAGTAACTGGTCCTAATTACAGGAAGCTCTTACACAAAGGCAAAGTTTCATACTGCATTACTGCACATTTTGGTTATAGATGGAACCTGATGGAATTAGTCACCCCCTTGTTTTTTCATATCTCTCGAGGACTCTGGCAAGATCATTGCCACATTTCCTAGCTTTGTGTCTGCCCATGTTGGAGTTCTGGATATCCCTACCCACCTCTGGGTGTTGTCACTTCTCCTGATATAATGTAGGCTGAGAGGGACTCACTCATAATGGCTATGTGTGTATAAACCTAGGAGATTTTATAATCAGGGTCCTGAGCAATATTAGAAACTGTCAAGTAATGTAACTCTCCAGCATCTACCAAAAATTGAAATATGTTTTCTAAGTACATCTGACTCTTAAGAACAGACGATTTTGGCACTATTGTGTACAGTAGCGGTGTTGTCTTCTCTCTATTCTCTTCTGTTGCTCTGTTTAGTGTTGGGAGCCACCAAGTACTTTCAGGTATGGAGTAACATATTGCTCCAGTTGCATGCACTTGACAGTCTGGAACTTTATAAGAGAGATTAAAGCCCATTTCCACCTTTGCAAGTAATTAGTATGTATTGAGTGATGATGTATACTGTATGTTTGTACATTTTCATGACTCACATTGCTAGCTTTTTTTTTTACTGAATTTTTTAGTGGGCCTAAGTCCTACAAATTGAAAATTTCCTCCACAGGAAACTCAGTCTGACACTGGGTTTGGATTCTCTTCTACAGTCTGTAAAGCAGATGACCCCTTCCCTGTGGCATAACAAGATCACTGCACACCAGCTCTGCCTCCCCAGGGCACAATACACTGTTCAGGGATGGTGGGGCACTATTAATATTAATGAATGGGGGGAGAGAGCTCAGTTTCCATAGAGAAGCTCATGTACAAGGAAGCATAGCATTGTGGGAAATTTAGTTTTACATGCCCTACACTGTAGTTCCCACTGTGTGCACAGCAGCCTGTAATTTACACATAGCCGTGAGGAGATGAAGAAGACAGCTAACAAAAGTAAGTTTCTGTATTATACAGCAACTGCATATGCCTGTTTAATGTACACTCAGTGTACATTGCTCTCATATGAATCTTTAAAATACTTCTGCAAGGGTAGAAATGGGCTTTAAAGTAGAATTATAAACCTACCTAGATAATATTTAATTTGGTAAATCACAGTGTATTATAAACAATGGTCTTTTTTTTATTGACATACTGTTTTCACTCACACTGTTTTATATCTTCGATGCTGCTGATCTCTTCCAGACTCTTTCTGCGACTTCCTGTCTTCAGCGCTGGCTACTCATTGTTGCTCTGAATCTGCTTCATGATGATGATGACAACAATGGACCATGTCTGCAGAATGTGTTTTGCTATGGCTGCTTGTAGTCTCAACCAGGGGACACATATGACAGGGTGGCAAAACATGAGCACATTTGGGAGAAAGTTGTCACCCCATAAAGGCATCTGCCTGAACGAGGACCTTCATGGCAAGATCGCCACGGATCATTTAATTAAAAGCTGCAGATTTGTAGAGTGATTGAAAACAACTTTTGAAAATCCATTAGCATGTATGAGACTTTACTGATCGGGTTTAGATTAACTTTAACAGTTTACAAAACTTTACAAAAACTTGGCAAACTTTGTTTTCAATACTGGAGAAGAAACATTGTGTAGTTCCACTTTCCAGACAACTTGGGGTAACACTTCCTTTATATTTGATACATGTTCCCATTTACATTGCATAACTTAAAATGTGCTGCTTACATTTTTACTTAGTGCAAAAGCTTAATTGAGGAGGGGGCTGTGGAGTTATGTTTACCATAATTAACCCTGTCTGTACTGTACTGGCAGGTCTCATTATTAGCTGTTAATTAGATGTGCAGGATGTGTCTGTCCTAACAAAGGGTTAAAGATCTCAAGGCTTGGGTGGGACATTGTATGTTAATGCACTTAAAAAACTCCCCCTTTGTCCCTTATCTGCACATTGCCATCTATGCTTAGTAGAGATGCACCAATACCATTTTTTCCAGACCGAGTACGAGTACCAATACTTTTCCTCAAGTACTCACAGATACCTATTGCCCATACCTTTTTTTAGTTTCATGTGACAGTTTTTCAACACAGACTAATGATTTTAGGACAGTGGTGGAGCGCCAGGGCCCAGTCACAGCTGCAACCGCTTCCACCCCGATAGTTCTGCCACTGACACCAAGTTGTAGAGGGACTACAAATCCCAGCAATAGATTATACAGCAATGCAGAATACCACCAGCTATAAAGGACTACAAGTCCCAGCAATACATTATACTGCAATGCAGAATATTATGAAGCTACATACTCTGTGTTGCTCACCAAGGCTGCGTGCAGGGTCTCACCAGGGCTGTGTGGGTGATGGGAAGGAGGAGGATGACATGTGCAGCTGGACCGGGGGTCGCCAGAAGGCTGCCGTGAGCTCCCCGCTTCTGTTTAAAAATGTAAAGCACTTAGTATTGGGGCATTTTCATGAGTATGAGTAATCGTGCAAATGCCCAGTATCGGCACCAATACAGATACTGGTATTGGTGCATCCCTAATTCTTAGCAATAGAAGCTGTCTGTAGTCCTATATATAAACCTGCTCCAAAGAAACAACTTATAGGGAAGAAAATATTTTTTTTTTAGATAAGGTTTCTGAGTGGGAACACATAGCAAACATATAGAGGGGGTTTCTCAAATTTGACTGCAAAAGTGGAAATACAGTTTAACCCAGGGGTGGGCAAACTCCGACCCTCCAGCTCTTGGCTTTGCACGATTTTCACAGGCATGACTCCTAAAGACAGATGCATCATGGGATTTGTAGTTTCACCTCAGCTGGAGGACTGGAGTTTGCCCACATCTGATTTAACCCCCTGCTGGCAGCCTTAATGGAAATCATAGTGTTGGTAGTTGATGGGCCCCCGATCATGTGATTGCTGTGATTGGCTGTCACATTAAGCTGGAGCAGTTTTCTTATGGCAATCAATCAGCCTCTCTCTTCAGTTTGTTCCATTAAGCTTTGAAACTGAAGGATTGAAGCCATTGGTCGCCATCTACTCCAGCCTGGTCACTATGCTGGGAGTGTGCTCAGCATAGAACAGTGGGCTGTCTGATGCACACATGCTGCTACAGTAACGCATATATACTGGTACTTTGATGAGAATGTGTAAAGCCTGTGACGCACTGCACGCAAAAAGGGAAGCAGTGTCTTGCAGTTTCATAGCCGAGTGTGGCAAGATGAAAACTTCTTATTTTCAATTGGCTCGCGCTTATAAACCCGCACATCACACAAATTCAATTAAGTTTGTCAGGAAAGCCCAGCAAGCAGTCATAGTACAGGTACCGTGAGAGCCATTGCACATGCACGTGGGAGACAGGTTCGTGCTAGTAATTCTTGTAATTGTGTGCATGGGCTCTGATGCGTACATTCACGCGCAACGGCGCTTATGTCTAATCATGGTGCCAAAAGGCCTATTTAAACTTGCATCCTGCATGCACTCAGTGCTGAGAGTTCTTTAGCTAGTATCCAGCGTGATTCCCGATTGTTCCTGTATCTGACCCAGCTTGATCCTCTGACTCTGCTGCTCTCCGCCTGCTCCCGACCTCGATCTGTTCCACTACTCTGCCGATTCGGTACCACTTATTCTGCACGGCTTGTCCTGACCCAACTTTCATCTTCTGTTTCTGTATCGCCCAGCTCGCCAGTTACTGACCCAGCTTGGCTCTGACTCCACTCATCTGATATCCTGAACGCTTTTGGCTGACTACCTGCCTGGTGCTTCACTCCGGTGGCTTCAGCATCTCTATCCAGTGGCACCCGTGCCTCACACAGTCCGTTCGGCCCTGTTCCACTCTCAGGGGCGTTCAGACCCGTGCTTCAAGGAAAAGATCTTCTTGTCATCTCAGACCCACATCAGGTATGTGACAGAGTTCTTACGCATGAGCCGATTGGCTGATGAAGTCTTTCATTTCGCCTTGCACACTGCATGCCAATGTCCGCGCCTCGCACACTGCATGCCAATGTCCGCACCTCGCACACTGCATGCCAAAGTCCGCACCTCGCACACTGCATGCCAATGTCCGCACCATGCAGCTTTGCCCCGCATGGCTTCAGGTGCAGTGTGTCATGGGCTTTAAACTCTAAGCTATGGAAGTAAACTATGGAAGTTTTAAAGTGATGCTTTCCACTTCCTGTAGTTTATCAGTCAAACAATATTCCACCAGCTAAGGGCTCTTCCACTGCAATTAGCATAAAATCAAGCAAGTGGAAAGGCAAAGTCAGGTGAACAGGTGACTCATTTCTAAATGGAGATCCCAGAGCACTTCTCGTGCACAAGTAACACCCTGAGAACAGGGACAGATGGTAAAGCGTTGCCCTTTTAAGAGCCAGCTGTGTGCCCGTCTGTAAGTGTGTGTATGTGCGTCTGGCTGAGCAGCACGCTGGAAACTGTAGAAGGAATCTGATTGGCCGTGACTTAAGTTGTCTCCCCGCCTCTTTCTGGGGGGGGCGCCCTGATTGGGAGAGGGACGGAGGTAAACAGAATAGAATGTCCCCCTCTGATAGAACCTATGGGAGCCGCATCCCATTGTGACGCGTGGGGGTTCTGTTAAATTGTTACTGAGCAGGAGAATGCTTGAACCCTGAGAGTGGAAGGAGACAAGAGGTGGAGAAGGGGGGGGAGAGAGGAAAAAAAAAAGTGTCTCATATACAGCTTTGTCTGAGATTTCATCCCAGACTCTGTATGATTGAGGATGAATGCACTGGGAGTATTGAGGGAGACAAAGCACCTTGTGCCCACTTGATCGCTGTTTGCCGTGTGTCTATGGCAGAGCCGGGAAGACAATGCCGCTTGTTTAGTAGCGGCCACGTGTGGGATGCTTTGCCTTGGGTCTGGCACAAGTTTTGTGAAAGAAGGTAAAGTGTGCTGCAGACACAGGAGGGGCATTGTGTACTAGAAGTGGGGAGGTCCCAGACTAGTGCTGTCTGATGAAGATGAGGGGCTGGGTGCTGCTACTGAGGAGCACACACTGATAGCTGCAGGAGACGCACCGACTACTTCTCCTCCGCCCGAGCCCCTTTTCTACACTCAGCCGGCAATGACAGCTGTCGCCTACACGGACTTCGTAGCCGCTCAGTGTCTGGTGTCCATCTCCAACCGCACTACGACCACTCGGCACCTGGAGGCGGCGGAGGACAAGGCTCCCGCACCTGCCGAGCACCTGAGGAAGATGAGCGAGCCCGAAACGGGGCTGCACCTGCTGGGGACAATGGCCGAGCAGGGGGTGACGGCTAAGGAGCACCACGAGGGGCCGGCGGAAGCCTGGAAGGACTACTGCACCTTACTGACTATAGCTAAGAGCCTGCTGGAGTTGAACAAGTACCGGCCCCTGCCCTCGCCGGTCTACAGCGACGAGGAGCTCAGCTCGGACAGTGATGTGACCACGGAGTCCGGCCACAGCTGCAGCACTACTCCCAGCCATACGGACTACAGCCCCGGAGCGGGCAACACGCAGCCACGCCCACCCAGCCCGGACACGCCCAGCTCCCCGCCACGCCCCGCCGGCTCCGCTAGTGAAAAGAGGCACAGGTGTCCCTATGCCGGCTGTGGCAAAGTCTATGGCAAATCATCCCACCTCAAAGCCCATTACAGAGTCCACACAGGTCAGTAACACGTGGCTGAACCCCCAACCACAGAGGGCAACCTCTGGGTACCCAGCTTAGGTTCCCTTTAAGGTCTTTTTTGTAAGGTTTGCTGAGTCAGCACAACCTGGTGGTGGTATGTGGGTGAATGAGGATGGGGCAATGGGGTCCACATTTAGTAGGGTATTCAAGTAATAAAGACACCTCAATCACAAGCACCTGTCTAGACACATGGCTAGAGGAGCAGAAGACATGGTGACATCAACTTGAGGCTAGCAACCCTTCACATTACTTCCTTGTCACATATTTGTAAGCAAATACCCAATGAGGACACGGTCTGTGCAAAGACGTCCTGGAGTTCTGGCTCCTCGGGGACTGCAGTCAGGTGTCTCCAATCCAAGACACGTAAGGTTTGTGTGACATCTTGATGTTTGCAAGCATACTGGTGGAAGTGAGAAGGTGGCTCTTCCAGAAGATGGTGTACAGATGTGTGATTTGCTTCTTACTGCACAATAAGGTCAAAGGAATAGCTTAGGATACACTCAATATGGTAGGGTACCCCCCCAATACTGTTTGCATGACATAAATGAGGACCATCTCCGGTTGATGTCCACTTTTAGGTTACCAGAAGACAGGTGTCACTGATACCATGTTGTTCTTAGTAACTGAGTGCTGGAGTAGACTGCAGCAAAGAAAAAAAAACTATCCGAGTCCAAGTACAATGTGTGGAGGAGGTGCTATTATTGGTGTTTTCCATCCCCTCCCTGGTGACACCTTGACCCAAACCAGTTGTGTCTCCTTTCAGTGCTACATGCTGCTTTTGGCAACGTAGTCGTAGCGATGTGTTGCTGAGTTTGAAGGGGGGTGGTTCCCGTGGATTCGGGGGAACACCCTTTGGTTACGCCTATATTTGTAACCCAGCCAACCAATGGGTAGCTACCACTCACACGTGTATTGCAGCATGACGTCACACAACAAGCACCATACACCTGGCTTGAGTGCCATTCATTGAACATAGGGATCTCAGCAGGTGCATACCTATGTCCAGTTGCCACGAACGAAGGCATTCGGAAAAGAACAACCCATTCTTCTGAAAATGCCACGTTTGCCGTAGCGATCTTGCTACCGAAGCTGGGGAACTAAGTTGAGTTGATTAAGGGCACCGGTTTGTTAGGCACCGAGCTGGTAACCCGGGTCGGTCCCCGTAAAGTCTATGCCAGTGGTAGATCATTAGGAGACTTTACGTCAACAACATGTTCTCAAGCAGAGTCTATTTTTAGATTCAGCAGGTTTTGAAGTATTTCTAGGAGCCTTTCCCGTCTTGGCAGTATTGTATTTTCCTGTGCTTTTGGTTTTTTTTTTTCCTTGTTTGATTAAGAGCCAGCAGGGGTAAGAGCGAACTGTCTAATCGCATTCTTCATTATCTGCTTCCGCACTCCCATACCAAGTAGGTGACCTCATATTACCTCTTCCACTGAGACTGACTGAGGATATTGTATTTCTGCTGTTCCACCGCCTGCGCTCAGACAGCATATAGTGTGTCTCGCAGACACTCTATCTCAAACAGCAGCTGAATCACCATGACATTAAATACTACGCCACTTTATTTCCATCATTTCTATACCATATTACATTTAAAGTAGTTTTACCATGCTGCTAAAAAAAATCTACATGCATCTGCATTGTGTCTCTCCGTTCTCTCTGTCTCGCTGCTTGTTCTCGGGCACCAGTAAAAGGCATGAATCAGGATAACCTTTATGATTCACGTTGCAAGAAGGAGCTTGTTCCTTAGTCTGTCCTGTCTTTTGGATGAAGGGTGTGGTGATTCATGGCATGACACAGACAAAAAAAAATACAAATTGGAGGTCTGAGATTAGAAAGCTCCATCTTGTTTGCATTTTAATCAGTTTGGATGACATTGCAGTTACCCTGCCTAACATAGCACCGAGAGACCCAAAGCTAGAGGTGACATCACATGCTTTTAGCCTCAGCATTTGTAGTTTTTAGATCTTTGCTAGGCTGCTTTGTTTTTTTATTAAAGAGCTGATTGTTTATTATTCTACAAATGTTCACCAGGAAGACTTTCATGATTGAGTTTAGTGAAACCCTCGGCATGGATCTTTTGTTTTCATGCACCTAATTGGTCACAGTCAAGAAAGAGTGAAGGCTGGGTGTGTCTGTGGAAAAGTACAGCCTTGCTCACTCGTAAAGAAGTTATGAAACAGCTGCAGATGCAAAACAAAGACTTCCCCCCCCCACCCCGTGTGCATGGCAATAAGGTTATAGGTTTTCAAGTATAACGTTTCCATAAGTGATAGTGAGCATTTAGTGTATGATGGCATCACGAAGTGAAGCTGTCTAGCTCATTATACAACAATTTTCTTTTGCAATGATGACATGGCTTGTTTCCATATTTGAATGAGTGTTCTATCTGCCCATTGATATTAATAAAAGGTTAGGGTACATGCTGTATTTGGCTTTTGGAAGTAACAAGGCTGGCTGCGAAAGCTCGTTTTAGTGCTCTATGATACGGCTGTCCCTTTGTACAATGTTACAAGCTGTTACTTGATGTCACTTGTCCCTCTATTATATATTGATCTATAAAAGTATACAGCTGAACGAGCCAAGGAGTGCTAATTACATTATGGGGCCCACGTTTCTAGGAATGATGTTACTGGGTTGCAGTGCTGAGTGAGCTATGTGTCATGTGCACAGGCAACAAGATTATTGATGAGTCTAGATTTAGTCGACCGGATAGCCCTGTGAACAAATGGAGTGTTTTTTGTGGGTGACTGCTGTATCATGAGATCAGGACAAGTGTGGGAATTTATGACTGTTCTGTCGCAGTATATATAGAGTTCTGAGTAATGTGGCAGGTACAAGGGAGAGTAGGGAGCATGAGGCTTTACTATAGCAAATGTGGTAGGCACAAGGGATCTTCTTGCATATATGAGAGGAGGGAGCACGAGGCTTTACTATAGTAAATGTGGCCGGTACAAAGGATCTTCTTGCATATATGAGAGTAGGGAGAACACAGCTTTACTATAGTAAATGTGGCAGGTACAAGGGATCTTCTTGCATATATGAGAGTAGGGAGCACAAGGCTTTACCACAGCAAATGTGGTAGGCACAAGGGATCTTCTTGCATATATGAGAGTAGGGAACACAAGGCATTATCATAGTAAATGTGGTAGGCACAAGGGATCTTCTTGCATATATGAGAGTAGGGAACACGAGGCATTATCATAGTAAATGGGGCAGGTACAAGGGATCTTCTTGCATACATGAGAGTAGGAAACACGAGGCTTTACCATAGAAAATGTGGCAGGTACAAGGGTTCTTCTTGCATATATGAGAGTAGGGAGCACAAGGCTTTACCACAGCAAATGTGGCAGTTACAGGTGATCTTCTTGAATACATGAGAGTAGGGAGCACAAGGCTTTACCATAGCAAATGTGGCAGTTACAAGGGATCATCTTGCATATATGAGAGTAGGGAGCATGAGGCTTTACTATAGCAAATGTGGCAGGTACAGGTGATCTTTTTGAATACATGAGAGTAGGGAGCACAAGGCTTTACCACAACAAATGTGGCAGGTGCAAGGGATCTTCTTGCATATATGAGAGTAGGGAGCATGAGGCTTTACCACAGCAAATGTGGCAGTTACAAGGGATCTTCTTGCATATATGAGAGAAGGGAGCACAAAGCTTTATCATAGTAAATATGACAGGTACAAGGGATCTTCTTGCATATATGAGAGTAGGGAGCACGAGGCTTTACCATAGCAAATGTGGCAGGTACATGGGATCTTCTTGCATATATCAGCGTAGGGAGCACAAGGCTTTACCACAGCAAATATGGCAGGTACAAGGGATCTTCTTGCATATATGAGAGTAGGGAGCACAAATCTTTACCACAGCAAATGTGGCAGTTACAAGGGATCTTCTTGCATATATGAGAGAAGGGAGCACAAAGCTTTATCATAGTAAATATGACAGGTACAAGGGATCTTCTTGCATATATGAGAGTAGGGAGCACGAGGCTTTACCATAGGAAATGTGGCAGGTACATGGGATCTTCTTGCATATATGAGAGTAGGGAGCACAAGGCCTTGACATAGCTCCTCTCATACCTTTGTTTCTTGTGCCCTAGTTATACATGATCATTTCTTGTGGTAAGTGCTAAGGTTCAAAGCACGCTTTGATCTTGTGCTACAGAGACATATAATAATATATGAGACATACTAACTTGTTATTTTGGCCTGTGTGGTGTTTGTGTTTGGAAGAAGGTTCTGTTTTTGGAGGTTTCGGAGCAGTAAGTCATAACAACTATTCAGCATAAGAAAGGAAGGCTTTGAGCTTTCAGTTTCAGTCTAAAGTGAAAGGTGAAGTGGGACTGGCTGGGGAACAGTTGTACGTCATTGCACTTTATCTTATTGATGAAGCCTGTGCTTACTTTCCATAACCCAAACTCCTGAGTTAGGGCTGATGTACTGTATATAGTTAGAACTTATAGATATAAGGCACATCACAAGTCCCATAAATCGCAATACAAAACCATTTCTGAAGCAACAGCTACTCACTCCCTCTGTTACTTTGTTTTCACTGATAGAAGAAAGTACATTTAGCATGTGGTTACACAGGACAAGAAACTATAATATGCTGCTATTCCTAGACCTGATCCCACTGGGTCTGACCCCATGATGCTTGAGCAAGGGAATGTCCTTCCATTGAATCTTACTGACTATGGACCTGGGAGAAAATAGGGGGTTGTTTCCACTCCCGAGGACTCTCTTCAATTATTTGTAGCATGCAGCTCTAACTTCTAAGGAGCCAAGAGCTATATAAAGTGTAAGTCCTTCTCGGAAATCTGTAAAGCAGGGATGAGGACAACTTTTTAAGGGCTGTGATACAAAGGATACCCATAGAATGGAATCATTATCTGTAGCTGTACTTCCCAAGCCAAAAACTATTCTCAGAGTGGCTGGTTTCAATCAAGCATGTTGATTTCTGGCTACTTTAACGTCTGTGAACGTTTAAGTATACCCGTCAGGAAAAAAAACCAAAAACAATTACAGCAGGCATTGGTCGTGATTCCAACATGCATGTACCTTCAAAACCGTACAAAAGTGCCACAGGATCTTTGAAACTGTAATCTATGGCTCTGACCTACAGCCATTGACACATCCCGGAAGGCCATCCCACACTTTCTTATTTAGCACAGTTGGATGGTTCGGTGAGTTTTCCATTCTAGTGTCTAGCTTAGGACGAGGTAAGTATGCAGAAGAAGGGATTATGTGGTATTCTGAATTAATATAGGGGTTAAGTCAGAAGAAGGGTTAAAGTCAGGATCAACAAATCCACAAACCACCATACAGCGTTTGGTAGCATCACCCAGTGCCTATGCCTCTTTTTATCACTGCTTCCTTGCTGCTCGGATACTTACCACCATTCCTGCAAAGTCACGGGCAATTATCAACAATTGTACACTAAATCGTAAACCTCCCACCCCATGTGACTGCCCACTCAGATCCCAGGCATGGCATTGTGGGAAGGAGTGTGGTGTGTCACATGCTTCTTCATACTGGGATTTTTACAGAATGATGTCCAGGACTGGATTGGAAGTAATAATAAATCTGAACAGAAGAGGCTGTCTAGTATTGAGAGGGGGGCTTGGTTTGATATATTTTTTTGCTGAAATATTTGCTTGCTAACTTAAGGCAAATTTGAATGGAATGGGGGAAGGAGTTAAAATGTATATTAGATTGTTAATGTTCCTACATTTTCTACCCCTGTAATGGGGTAATGGATTGTCACCAGGACAGGAAGGCACAGACAGCAAAAAAACAAACAGAAGTTCTGATAGGTACTGAGTGGAAATCTCCCCAATAAGGACACAGATGGCAATAGAAACCTGATAGGGGTTCTAACCCTTCCCTTCTCTATCCAAATCTAAATAGTAGTTAGGCTTTAGGGGCTAGGATGAGTTTTTTTTGGGTGGGGGCTGGTTTAGAACTAAGAGTAAGCTTTACGTTAAAGTATATCTAAAGCCAAACTTTTTAGTTTTGGATAAAGCATGGAATGGGTAAAACGTCTATCAGGTTTTTTTCGGTTTTTTTCTGCTGTCTATGTCTTATTGGTGACATTTACCTTTCCTGGGGACACAGCTATAAGAGAAAATCTTAGACAGCTGTCACCTACTGGTCTGGTGAGGACTGTAGAATTGTGTATTTCCCGTCACTCTCCCTCCCAGTGACCATGGCTTTAGACACACTTGAAGGTTTAGGATCGGGGGGAGGGGGTGGGGGAGGGTGTAAGTATTGGGTAAAAGGGCTCATAGTGGGGATTAAGTTAATATATTAGGTAAGTTGAGAGTTGTGTTTTTAAGAAACATTGTTTAGGAACACCTAAAAGTCAACTTGATGGTTTTGCTCTGTTTTTGGTGCTGAAAACCTCATGCCAAATGCAAAATTACCATATCAAAAGTTTTAGGGGGCAAGTTGGCCTTCAACATTTCAAGAAAATGCTAACATTTGCAGATTAGAGTGGATAAAAGTTGGGCAGTCCCATGGTGCATACAGTTCTGAAATACGTGGTACCTCTAGTGTAATATAGGGGTCTATGTCTACAGGCTTTTAGCTTGTGTCAATGGGCAAATGCAGCTTGCTTTTGACCTAGCTTGAGATCAATCCTGAGATTATTCAGAATTCACCAACCGGTGCATTTAAGTTGCATTTGACTTGGTCCATGCTGCTTTTGATTTCCCATAGACTTTTATGATAAACTTCTGCTGCAAATAAAAGCCCATGGATAGAGGCCCTAAAGTAAATCTGTCACAAAGCAAAACACCTGGGTGTGTATAGGCTCTGAAAGACACAACCCATTCCCTGAATCATGTGATCATATTTATGCTTCCATCAAAACTTAACCAAATGGGTGTTTTCTATCATGCCGCTAATGAGTAGAGGGCTGTCATTGTACAGCTCCCCCTCAATGAATAAATGGAAAAGGTTTAACAGTTGTCTGGAGAACCTCTGTGTTCATTTTACACAGACTACAAGACTTTTCAATCAGGGTTATGTGAGTAAACTTTTTTAGCGAGGAGAACAAATACCTCTTCCAAAGGAGCGGTATCACCTTTAAACTTTGTATACAAGTTTTCCTTTTGATAACATTTCAGGGAACAGATAATGTAAAGCTTACATATACTTCTAGTGGGTTCTGTTTTTTCTCTTTTTTTAGGTAATTCTTTTTTGCCCCCATAGGTGAACGTCCTTTTCCGTGCACATGGCCAGACTGCCTTAAAAAGTTCTCTCGATCTGACGAGTTGACCCGCCATTACCGGACCCACACAGGCGAGAAGCAGTTTCGATGTCCCCTGTGCGAGAAGAGGTTCATGAGAAGTGACCACTTGACCAAGCATGCCCGTCGCCACACAGATTTCCATCCCAGCATGATCAAAAGGTCCAAGAGGTCCAGCTCAGCCTTTATCTGAATACTGCATCTTTGAGTCAACAAAGCTGTCACACAAAAAGTTCAGCTGCTGTACATATCACTTTCTTGCATCTTTTCAAAAGAAATGTAGCAGTTTTAAAATCCATGCTTCTGCAGCAGTATATTTAAAGGAAAATGCTGCCCGGTTTCTTTTTGGTGGCACACGACTCTCGGTATTTTTTTGTAGTGGTGTAATCTGTACCATCACGGTTTTGACTGTAAGATCTTTTGTGCTTGCGCTGGCATGAATATGTGTTTATGAAATAGAAACCACAATGGATCAGCTTTACATTTGTGAAAGAAGTACGAGGACACGTGCCCATGAAATATAAGGGAATACTTTTGTTTCTTCTCTGATTAAACCGTATGGTATTTGGAGAGTATACATCTTATGAAGCGAGCAGGTATAGAGTATACTTGAACCTGGTTTCTTGTGGAATATTGTCTTACGATGTCTTGAAATATGTGTTTTATTGTTGATGGAATACTAGTCTCCCTCTATTATGGACCTCATCAGTCACCTATTTTGACTTGGCTCATAAGGTGCACTTTGTATGACCAGCACCATCCCTTATTCTTTGGAGCATGGTGAACAGCAATGGAACTAAAGTACACTAAGGGATGGAAAGCTAAGAGGATGAAAGCCTTGTTGGCTCGCCTGTCTGATCATAGGTTGAGGAAAAAGAGCTGTTAATGGGAGATACAATGCTCAGTAATCATATATAGTTTGCAGTATCTTAAGATAAATGTCCATGGAAATATTTACACCTTGCCCAACTTTTGGGCAGACTGTCTCTATGTCTGCTTTGACTGCACCTGTTGAAGAATGACACACAGCTCCACAGAAGACTCTGAACGAACTTATATGCCTTTACCCTGCAAGTTTAGAATAATGTCAGAGGGTCATTTTATTACAACTGTAGGTTGCTATGCACATTTTATATTTCACATAGCAATGACGAACAGTTTCTGCAAAACCAGAATGTTTGATTCAGCTTTTGACAGAGGCGTGATGCTATCTTTTCCGTGCTTTAAGAGCTTAAGCACTGGAACACTGGGCAGTGCAAACTTGCAAGGAGTCTATAGATCAATGCCAGGCAAATGGTCTGTCACTGCATCCACTACAGTATCGCACTTTCTGATTGTGTGACAGCACTCTGCATGTACAGACTGACAGAAAGTGTCATTCTTTTAAATGCCTCACCATTGTGTCATTTAAGTTCTTGATCTAATTATTCAATTCACGTTTACATAACTTTATTTGGTAGACAGAAGCGCCAAATGAAACAAAGACTTTTTTGCACCTTATGTTTCCTATTTCACATGACGCCTATAGACTTGTTCCATACCTGGGAGGCTGCTTATTGGTGTTGTAGGCCTCTCCAGCAGTGAGGGGGGATAACTATGCAGAATCTGGCCAGAAAGGCGGTTTACAAATTTATGTGTCTGTACTTACAAAGTTAGGTTCATTCCATGACATAAGCACTCCAATCATTCTTTTTTTAAATAGTAGAAAGGACTGTTGTGAGTAACTCCACGCTATTAGCTATTTGCTTTATAGCTATCCTACTAATTAAATTATAGGTATGCCGTGTCACAGGGCATTACTAACAAGGCCAGTCAGGTTTTGTACATGATGTTTCTGATTCACTTAGCCTTTAAAAACAATGACATATATGCAAGGGGATGAAGTAGTTCTGACCCCCTTCATAAAATATTATAATTACCCTTGGGACAATTTTATAATCATGCAAGTGCCAAGGGTCTCCCTTTTTATAACATTTTGTACAATTTTCACATGGCTTAATGCCTCTTTCATTTGGTGTTTTTCAGAATTTTTTTTCCAGCTGGAACATTCATTAGAAGTGCATCTAATGGAGTCTAATGCACAAACATATAAATGCATGTTACTGGGAAAATTGGTTACAGTTCAGATTTAAAGGATCAGTAAACCTACAGTAGAAGATGATTCATATATATGAGTTCTGAATAATAGCCACAGTCTGAAAAGGTTTCAGGAGTTATCTCACAATATGGCTTATTCAGCAGGGCAGTACAAAGAGCAGTAACCCATTTCAGCTAATCAGTTTTCTGAAGTCCTATCGCTGAGTGCTGGGAACATTTTTGTATATCATATTGCTTAAAGACGAATTCTGGTTTGTACTATGAGGTACTGCACTTTGCTGTTTAGTCTGCCTTATTGAATATGCCTGCATCATTTCAGATAGTGTTCTTTTCGTAGAGAGAGCTATTTTGGTTTGCACTGCTGACTTCCTGTCCGGTAGTCAACCTATCATCAGCCTGACTTGTATGATAACATTCAGGCTAGGTTCACACCTAGGCAATTCAGATGGCTAGCTGTTTTTACGCGATTGTCGCGCGTTTTCGATTGCGTGACTGTTCATTGAAAACCATGTGGTTATCAATGCATAGAGATGTCTGTGGAGCCCAAAATGTGTGACAATTTCCCGAAAATTGCTCCTCCAACTTTCTGCGCGACAGGCGATTTTGTCTGCACGACAAACCGCAAAGGTGTGCAAAGACTCCATTGACTGCAATGTGAATCTGTGTTTTGCATGGCATAATATCGCTTGACCCAATCGGCGCAATAAATCGCCTAGGTGTGAGTACCTAGTACCTTTTTTCTGTGATACATGACGCACTGCTGTTTTAGCCGCGATCATAGTGTTCGGAAGCACGGGCGGAATTGCGACGGGAAACCACGCAATCCGCCCGGTGCGACTGGGGTGTCATTGGAAAATAATGGCAACCACAGCACGATTGGTGCGCAGCTGGGCGACTCCTGACCGCGCCGTGGGGTGTCGCCTAGGTGTGCACCGGCCCTCAAGGCTGCACAGCCTGTGTTTGTGCAATGCCAAAGTAGGAGGCTTTTTATGTATGTATTTATACATTCTTAATATGACCTCTTTATTTGAAGTATCTTTTAGTTTAAGGTTTATTGCCCCCTTATAACACCATTTAAATATTAATACAATAGTTAGAGAAGCAGTGGAAAGAAACATTTTCTTGTGCACTGAAAAGTTGGTCTTTTTCTAAAAAAAGACACTTTAAAAGCAATTAGCGACATATTAGACTTTAACAAGGAACTGAATTATCAAATGTAATCCTTCTTGTTTACTGGCGAAACAATTTGAGGTACAGCACAGTAGGCACTTTTTCTGTTTTATTTGTATCCTCGATCAGAAATTAATATTATACAGCGTGCAATCTTTTGTTTGTCATTAGGCCATATATAGACTGTTGCAAAAAAGAAAACAATAACACTACAGTTCAATTATACTATGAAACAGGAATGTCAGGAAAAAATAACATTATACACTTTCTACCTCTGTTTCAGTTTTTGAAACACCTAATTCTTTATTCAGTATAGCAGAGTAATTCTTCCAGTCAAGATAGCCAGATTTAAAAAAAACAAAATCTAAAAAAAAAAAAAAATATTGTATGGTTTGGTTTAACGATTTTCTGTTTTACTGCCAGGGGCAACATGTGGTTTTAGTGGGAGATCTTTAAAAAAGGCTAAATGAGGACAACTACAAGCATTTCTGGTTTTGCACATCGAGCAGAAGGAAAAAAAAACTTAACGTCGTCAACAAGCACAAATTATATACAGTGACTTATGAGAATAAAGGAAGAAACTTGTGGGGTTTTTTGCATTCATGGTCAAACACAAGCACCCCTTATTCTGTATGTAATTGTTGCAGATAAGATTTGTTTTTCAAGATAAAATGATGTTTGTTTGTTAAGTATTTGACATAAGATCTTTGAGCATTGTATTTACAGCGTCCTGACTTGCTTTAAGGTGTATAGAAATATTACAGGTTTAAATTGGATTTATAGTGGTTAAGTATGACAAGTTGTATAAATAGAGCTTCAACATGTTTCAGCTTATAAGTACAAAAAAAACATCATTTAAGTCAATATAATTTTAAGATAAGTGAACTTTAGTCTAAGTGACGTTAAGGAAATGTTTTCTTTTGTGATTCAATTACAAAGCATGTGTCTTTACCACTTCTGAAACCAACATTTTTATAACATTTTGCTGTGGCTTTAAATCGAGTGGGGCTGGTTACGCTCCATAATGTCAGATTCAGGAATTCTAATACATTTTTTTCTCTTGCATGTTCCTGTTCTACAGAAATACATCATCATTTTCATTTTTTTTTAACATCAATTGTATGTAATGCTCAGTACAAAACTGGCACACAGTAGTAAACATTCCATGAAGGTAAGCCAAACCTAGCTCTTGAGTGGCAAAAGAAATCAAACCATACGTATGATTCAACAGTAGTTTTTTGTTTTTTTACTGTCTCAACTACAGTACAACATCTAGTCATTATCACTGTAGGAAAGTGACTTTGGGCAGTGAATGCCCAAACGGTCATCCTTCTGTATACTTGCATTTTTTAAAATATTTGGACTTTTTGCTTTTTCTCAGCTTCACATAAAAGGCTTTCTTTTTCTTCTGTGTTTTGGTTGGGTTTGTGCTAGCTGCTATAGGCATCAGGCATGACAGAAAATTAGCAAATCGGAACCTCATGCCTTGAAGCCCAACTTTTAGTTTAAATTCACTAAATACATTCCATGGGCATCAAAATAAGAGGCATGCAAAGCCTTTGTTTTCTTTAGAAATTAGCCATAACTAGAGTAGAACATTCTGTCCCCTGTCAGTATGCTGTAGAGTGGGACTCTAATGTGTAGAGGCAGTGGTCTCTTTGCAGAGGTCTGACATGCCTCCATGTTTGCAGAGTCAGATCTAAAGCTCTCCAATTAGCAGGGAGTATGAGCTATTGCAGATTGTAGAGCTTATAGGTCTGACTCAGCAGAGGGCATGCTCAGCCTCTACGGAGAGACCAGTGTTTCTACACAGAGAAGTACAGTTCTTCTCTACAACATGGTGGCAGGGGACAGGCTTTTCTACTCGTGATGTGGCTGCTTTCCAAAGAAAACAAATTGAGATTTTTCCACACCTTTTGTATTGATGGACCTGGTATGCACTTAGCTGATTTAAGCCAAAAGTTGAATTGGGCTTTGGGGGTTTGGTTGCTTAAGAAATAGTTACGGTATAAAAGGAAGTATGCCTTTTGCATGGAAGGGTTGTTTTGGATAGACATGAAATTAAATTGTTTTAGGAGTATTTTGTAAAATAAAGAAAAGTGGAGATGTTGTCTATATCAACCAATCATGTATTTAAAAAATGTTTTGAGATGAAAAGAATATATTAATAATTGTTTTGTCTTCCAGGACCCTAGATGATCAGAAACCTGAAATTCTAATCTTCACTTCCCCATAATTGTAAAAAGGTGACTTTTGATGGCTCCAAAATAATGTTGGAGACCATCTCAGTTCTAGCCCAAAACTATACTGTAAAGAGGGCTTGGAGCAACCAATCATGTTTATTAATTTTGTTTCCAAAACTAAACTTGTTGGCTGATTTGGCCATCACCTCCACTGTATAGAATACCTTAGTTTATTAGCAGTGATCACTGGCCACCTTTATCTGCCATCTATATATTAAGAATAAGTGCACTCTCAGACAAAGTGTGGGTGTTATTTTTGCCCCCTTCTCTGACCTAACATCCGACCTTTCCTCTCCACCCACAGCCTCCAGGGGATTGTTTACATCCCAAGCCACAAGTCCCTTCTTTTTTGGCTGTGCTTGTGCAGCGGAGCCCCATAGAAGTCTTGCGCTTGTCTATCAGCCTAGAGGCAGAGGTAGATGAGCCTCAGAGGTCTAAATGCGGCCAAGAGAAAGAGGACTTGCAGTGAGGGATGTAAACAATTCCCGGAGACCGTGGGCATCAGATCTAGGTAAGTATAAAACTGTGGATGGGAAGGGTAGGATTTGTTAGGTGAGGGGAGGGGGCCAAACGGGTAAGTGCACTTATCCTTGAAATGATTTTTCAACTTGTACCTAGACACAAGAGAGTAATTTTATAAAGATTGACAGAATACCTGTCTTTCGTTTTACCATACTTTGCCACATTGGGCATGTCAAAAGGTTGACATAGACAGTTGCTATATGAAATTCAAATGTGAAAAATGCTTAAAAGTTACCATTGGTAACAAATCTGGCAAAGTATTGTTAAAAGAAAAAAGGTTACACCACCTTGAAGAAAAGGTACATCACACCAAGTAAAGAATAATATAATATATCGGTTATTCAATAAATAACAGTCTTTTTAAATGAATTAAATCTGTCTACAAAATAAAATAAAAATTCACACTTTTCAAATATGCTTCCCTAGAACTGCTTTATAAATGGAGAATAAAACTCAAACTTGATGTTTCCTGGATAAAAATGGGAAGCTTCAACTTTGACATTTATATAAATAGGTCCCTTAAACAACAGAGCTCCTTGAAATATAATTGGAAAGGACAACAGGAGGTAAATGTAATATGTGAATGGCATTTAGCTCCATACTTTTCTTTCTGAGATCCAGCTTTACTAAAACTGTTCCTGAAGTGAAATGGTACTGCTAGTTCAGCACTTTGAAGAGGAATTAGTCACAGCAATAGAAGTCTAAAAGTTACTAATTCCATTGAGAAAATAGTTAGGACTGGAAGTAGCAAGCATCAGAAACAGAAGCACCGAGTTAAAGGTACTTTACGGTTTTCAGAGAGCTGTATCTTGGAAAGGACAGGATAGAGGTAATTAACACATTACACTTCCACATGTACAGCTATATCTTGGATATATGTTCTGTTATGTCTGATGTTTCCTAAATTCATTTTTTATATTCCTTCCCTTCTGTCAAGCACTTATTTGAGAACCCTAATAACTTTTTTTTACTACACAAGCTCACTTTTGGTCAGATCAGTGTAAAAAAAAAAAGTTCTGGAATAAAGACTCCGTGATGCACCCAAAGAGAGTGTACTACTCAGTAGACGGAGGGACCTGCAGCAGGGTATTTCCTCCAAATCAAATTGGGAAACCCCTTTAATCACCCATTTTCATATTCAGCACACTCCATTCTCCAAAATGCAAATGTGTGTGAAGTATCCTTACAGAACCTTGCAATAAAATCAGCACCACCAAGTTTTTTTTTACCTGTGTATGGGACAAATATAATCTACTCTTTTTTTATATTTTGCTTTGCAGCAACAAGTAATTTTTTTTCT